AGGCGGGGCCGTCTCCACACCGAGGTGGGACGCTGGTCTGCTCCCACGGGCAGTTCGGGATTGCTTCCCAGATAGCTACAACCCAGGGCTTGTCCCAGCTACTGGGTGTTCAGGAGCTTCCCGCACAGATCAGAGCTGGGGGTTGAGTGGCATTTGAGTTTTACAGGTAAGAAGGTCACTGTCCTCTGTGATGGGCCTTGTTTGAGGGCTGTATGACCCTCCCAAGTCCAGATCCTAAGGACAAGAAACTTGGCAGATAGAATGCAGTTTGTTTTCAAATGGGACAGGTGGACCCACTGTTACTTATCAAAGAGCAGTGTTACAGTGTATCCATACAGAGCAAGTGTCTTCATTGAAAAAACCACCAGGGGTAAGAACAGGAAGCAGCCCAGTGAGTGAGACGCAGTGGGTGGGGCTGTTTTTGCCACACTGACACGAAGTAGCTCAGGGTCCAGGCTGGAGTGGAGCAGAAATGCGGAAATGCTGCCCGCTGGTCCTCCAGGTGGAGGGAGATTTGTGGTCATGGTGTCATGGCCTTGAAGGGGTCATGCCTCACTGCGTGTGGGCAGGCTGGGCGTCTGCCAGTCAGCACACAGCCCTGTCACTTCTTCATTCCTAGCAAAGCCATGCTCAGACACTGCCTGAGGTCACTTAGCTAACATGACTGTGTTGGATTTTTATAACAGTTTGGCACCTACAGTGAGTCGGAGCGGAAAACTGAGGAGTATGACACTCAGGTGAGGAGCAGGGGAGCTGGGGGAGTGTGCGTGTCTGGCAAACAAGTAACTGAGCATCTTACCCTGACATTTACCATGGGAAGGCCACCTCCTTGGAGGGATGGCTGTGATCCCAAGTGGTTTTCCAAGTTGGAAAAGTGGGGCCAGGAGGTTTCTCCCTGTTTCTGAAGGTGTCCCCATGCCCATGTCTCCCAGGACATTTCTATTTTTCATAAGCACATTTGTCCTCTAGGAGTTTGCTGTGGTTGCTGCAAGCTCACTGTCGCTCACCTGGGCGACTGCGTTGGGAGGCCTGTGTGCTAAGGCTGCTGTAGAGCAAGAATTTGCAGGGTGGCCACACAGCATGTCCTGTGCAGGGCTGGGTGTATTTGATGGCTGATGAGCATCAGCCTGCATTTCAACTTCACTGGGGCTACAGTAAAGTCCAAAGCAAATAAACGTAAGGATACAGCCGTGCTGGGTTGGGCAGTAGCCTTGATGCAGTCCTGAGACTTCAGGTTTTTGTTCACCACATTTGTTCACTGATCTGTTATAGGCTAGTTTATTTTGGGTGAGCCAACATTATTATCGACATCACAGTCCACATCAGCTGGACTGTGGGTGCTGTGCGTTCTCTGGGTTTGATAAATGCACGCTGACGTGTCCTCCATTACAACATCACACACGTCACACAGCTGCCCATGTCGGCGGTTTCTTGCCCTATTTATTTTCCATCCTTGTGAATTAGTTGCACAAAGTGCGTTAACAGAGGTTTGAGGATTGGGCTCTAACAGGAAGTACTCTGCTCCCTGCAGGCCATGAAGTACCTGTCCTACCTGCTGTACCCTCTGTGCATTGGGGGTGCTGTCTACTCACTGCTGAACATCAAGTATAAGAGGTACGGGTGTCACCAGGACTCTCCCTGCCATGCTGTCACCTGGAGAGCCCAGTTCATTACTGACAGCCATGCAGACCGTGCCCCTTCAGCCTCTGTCTGCTTCTGTCCACGATTGCACTGCCAGCACCGGGTTGGTCTGTGGCTCTGTCTCCTCCTCAGTGTGGAAAGCAGGGGGTCAGGAATGCTTGTGGGAGTAGCCTCAGAACTGGAGACATAGCTGGAGTGGGGGTGTCCTGTTGCCCCCCTTTTTTTTTTGGATCAGCAGGCGCATAGTGAGGTCCGCACCCACAGCAGTGGTGTCTGGGGTGAAGTCGGATGCATTTGACAAGGGAAAATCTGGTACGGTGTGTGGCTGCTGCATTCGGAGCGGCAGGGGCCTGGGGAAGGGCTGGGGCGAGGACACAGCGCTGAGAGTTAGTTTTTCCATCTGACTGGCAGATCTGAAGTTCAGTGTTAGTCAGTACAGTCTCCCACCCTGCGGCAAGCCCTGGCTCCCAGGAAGCATTTGGCATGCTGGTCCACCCTCACCGGGTGTCGCAGCATCTGGGATCTGACCAGGGCCCCAGGCGTACAGTGTGCGGACGGCAGACCTCTGGGGCTTCTGGGAGAATGTGATGTTGACAGAGGGCTCCCACAAGAGTCGTGGTTTAACAGACACTGATGACAGAGTCAGGCCTTCCACAATGACAGCTCTCTTCCTTTTCAGCTGGTATTCCTGGTTAATCAACAGTTTCGTCAACGGTGAGTTGTGTGTTTTTCTCTTCGAGTAACAGCATTTACAGCAAGTACCTTCTCGGTGCTCCGGTGACGTGAGGTTACCCTGGTGAACCCTCTGCCCTACCCTGTGCACTGGGCAGGGCCCCCGGACGCCTGGTTTGCCTGTGGGGGTCCCACATAGGCTTCCTGGGACTAGAGCCCTGAGCAGTCTGTTTTCTTTGCATGAAAACATTCTGTGTCATCAGTGAACAGCACCGTGCTTACATCTGATTCCTTCGGGCAAACTAAAGGAGCAGCCCATGAGCATGGAGCTCTACACGGGAACTGCCAGCCCTGGGCTGGCCCTGACCACAGCACTGGGTCTCTGTGGGCAGCTAAGGGCACAAGCAGACAGGGTGGGCTCCCGGGATGCCACGTTCACTGGTATGGTTCTCAAACCTAGCTGCAGCCACCAAAGGGGACAGTGTGGAGTGGGAATCCTGTCCTCACAGCCCCAGCACTCAGCCCCCTGCAGGCGAGTCTTACAGTGATTGAGGAAGAAGATGTTGCTCTCTGAAGCCATTCTGCTAGCCAGCAAGCTACAGGGTGTAAAGCCTGGCTCCAGGGCTTGTCAGGGTGTCAGAGCCCACGCACACTCTCCAGCCATGTCCTGTCTCCCCAGGGGTGTACGCCTTCGGCTTCCTCTTCATGCTGCCCCAGCTCTTTGTGAACTACAAGGTAAGACACTGCCCCAGCTGAGTGGTCACGTGTGCACTCTGTGTGGTCTGCCCCTGACCTTCACGTGTCTCCTTGTCCCCAGATGAAGTCGGTGGCACACCTGCCCTGGAAGGCCTTCACATACAAGGTCAGAGCTTCACACATTCAGGGCCACATTCCTGTCATAGTGTGGGGGTGTCTGCTTTAAACACAAGAGTCACACCAGTGGCTTTAAAAGACAGTGGCTCTGGCTCTCATAGTGACAGGAGGTTTTCTTGAGCTAAAAGCCATGCATGTGACTTGACAACGTGTCTCAAAATCAGATACCCCTGACCCAGTGGCTGGCATCAGGGTGGAGCCTGTTGTCCCACTGGTCCGTCTGTCCTGAGAGCTGTTTGGGTTGCCGTGGCCAGTCCAGAGCCTCCACCTGCTTATTTTCTGTTTTTGTCATCACAGCAGGAGCCTCTGTTACCCATGGTGTGTCTGCTGTGAGGTGATTTGCTGACTCAGGCTATGAGTGAACAGGGTCCAGGCAGTTGGCAGGGGGTCTCCGGGTGGTCCCTGGCAGCCCATTCCTCACCCTCCCCTCTCCCACGCAACCCGCAGGCATTCAACACCTTCATTGACGATGTCTTCGCCTTCATCATCACCATGCCCACCTCCCACCGCCTGGCCTGTTTCAGGGACGATGTGGTGTTCCTCGTCTACCTGTACCAGCGATGGTGAGTGCGGTGCCTCCGAGGTGCACTGCCCAGGCGGAGTCACGCAGTTCCCGCTAATGTGCACCTGGCCGTCCTGTGGGGAAAGATAGCCATTTGCAGTGGTCTTTGTGTGTTTCCCAAGCTAACATTCCAGTTGCTGATGGTAAGCCATGGGAGAAATTACTCTGTTTCCTGATGTAGAAGTGCTTGTTCTGTCTGAATGACGGAATCAACCACTGTGGGCTCACGCCCTCGTAGTCCAATTTGGTGTAACATAAAGGAGGTCACTGCCCCAGGCCGCATGCTCCTCCGCTCTTAGGAACTGGGATTGGTCCCCTGGGGCAGGCCTTCCCTGGGGGCAGTGTTCTGGCCCGGGCTTAGGCTCTGGCACCGGTGTCCCTGTCCTCTGATCAGCCTGCAGCACGGAGCTCTGGCCTAATCATTTAAAAACATCAACAGGAGAACACGAGGTGAACCCCAAAATTCCTCTCATGCGGTAAACATCTGACAATTTGATTATTAATCATTGGAACTTGAGGACAGGTGTGTCCTCCCTTCAAAAGCAGAAGCGCATCTGTCGTGTCGTTGCAGGCTGTACCCTGTGGATAGGAGCAGAGTGAATGAGTTCGGGGAATCCTACGAGGAGCGGCCCCAGCAGAAACCCCACACACATTAAGCACTGGCCTGGGCCATCGGCGGACCAGCACACAGCACATCTCGGATGGTCAGCTGCCTGAGTATTTTTGGAGATCCCTGGATGTTACACCTTCTACATTGCCAAAACCTCTGAACGTTTCTCATACGTCTCCTGAGTCCCTTCGAGTGGTGTTTGAGAGGAACTGGCTTCACTTCTGATGCCCCCAGCATGAAGACATCTGTCTCAGTCAGTCACTGAGATGTGTGCTTGTGGTCAACCTTTGCTGTTGGTGGTTCTTTGCGCAGGAGTGTCCAGTGTCAGCAGCAGCTGCGCCGTCACCAGTGTCCCCTCACCCAGCAGCCTCTGAAGGCTGGGAGGTGCGGGTCTCCATCTCCAGTTGTCTGTAAGTGCTCCTTACGTGAAATTTCAAATGCCTCTAAATCCGTGCTGTATAGACTCTGGGAACAAATGGCTTTTTTCCTTTTTGTTTAAAACTTGACTATTTTAAAGCTTAATGTATGTATGTTTCTATTTTAAAATAAAATAAATTTCTCTGGCTGTAACACTTTCTTGGCCTGTTGCAATGTGGAAAGCCTTTCAGATACGTCATGCAACGTGGATTTATTTACTTGTTTGTTAAAAGGACGTATTTAAAGACCTTTTCCCTAGCTTTGGAGTCATGAGTATTCTTAAATAGTCATGTCTGATACTGAAGACCAACAACTAAGTTATTAAATGGTCATGACTGGCCAAATCGGTGGTGTTTTCATTAGGGAAGCACCTCAGGTTAACGTAGGGAAAGAAATAGCACAGGCGAGCCAGAGGGTAGCCACGGGTTTGGGGGGTAATGTGGTTAATCACGTGTTCAGTGAAACAGTTCTGAAGGATGTTTTCAGGGAGTGTGCAGCTGTGTGAGCACAGCAGGTAGCTGTCTACGCTCGCAGCATGGACATCAGTGTCTCAGCCCCAGCGGAACATGGGCCAGGCTTGGACTTCAGCCTCCTCACCACTGAGCATCGTCTGGACACTCTGGCCTCTGCAGGAGTCCATGGAAGGGGCCCCTTCTGGGGAGAAGGTGGAGCTGAGCAGGAGGCCTGCCTGCAGGTGAGCACATGTTCTCATGCATCCCTGCTTGCTGTTGAGGTTGTCAAGAATTAGCAAGTTTTAGTTAAGTAAAGCCCGTGAGCCTCCCTCATTCAATGATTTGGAAGAACACTATGGTTTTTAGTTACCCCTTTAGTTTTATCATCAGAACACTGAGGCGGGTCCAGGGTCCCACAGTCAATCTCTGAGACTCGTCACCTGCACAGAAAGCACTTAGGAAGGTCAGACCACCCCAGTAGTCTGCCCTTATCCACACCCACAAGTTTTTTTATATAACATGTGTTCTCTGGGGGAGTGGAGGCCTCTCTGTGAGGGTTCCTCACACCTGTGTGGACACGGCTCTAAGTAAAGGTGCTCCACGAACAGACCGCCTGGCTGGGCCTGAGGGGCTCTGCTGACCCTGGTGCCAATTCAGGGCAGGCCACAAGGGACTCTTAGCACTGGGCCCAGCCCCCTCAACAGTGCCATCACATCAAACTTTCTTGCATTCAAAGTGTAAAACTTGGCAGACTTGGCTCTCTGTAGATCTTTGCCACTGTCTCATTTTCAGTTTCCTTATAAAATTGGTGTTAAGAGGACTATTGCTTTTGCTAACAGGTTGTTGAGCAGTTCTCATAGTGCAGGAACCTAATGAGCCTGGCAGCAGAGTGTGGGGACATGGGATTCTAGATGGTCACTTGGAAATCCTTGAAGAGGCAGTGACGCCACGTTCTGGCTGGTTTGTTTCCGAAGAGTCTTATAGCTTCCAGTGGCCCTTTAGTGACTTTTCTCCTAGGTTGCAAATCCCATGACACCTGGGCCAGTCTTGTGGCTGTTGAAGTCATTCTTGTAAAGGAAATGTTTGGTCAATAGTTCTTTATAAAAAGTTGTAGTCTTATGTGTTAATAAGTTACATGGGCCACTTCAATGCCTGCCTCCTTTTATTTATATATATAAAAACACTTTAATATATTTATATATGTACATATATATACACATACACATATATGTATAAAAATCCTTATTCGAGGATATGTTTATTGATTTTAGAGTGAGAGAGAAAACATCCGTGTGAAAGAAACATCAATCCGTTACCTCCAACATGCATGCCAACAGGAAATCAAACACAACCCAGGTATGTGCTCTGACTGGGAACTGAACCCTCAGCCTTTTGGTGTACGGGACGGCACTCCATCCAACTGAGCCACTTACCCGGGGACTGCCTACATTTTTTAAGATAAATAAGTTTAAACCAAACGAGCTTGATAGGAGTCCTTGAAGTAGCTTCCTGCTCAGGACTGAGCAGTTTATTCCAACACTTGGTAGAATATCGCAGAACCCTTAGAAGCTATTAAATTGATTGTTGGGTAAAAGTGGAAACTGAAAGTGACTAGAACCTGGAACCTCACAGCAGCTCCTGATTTGGGCCAGTGAGCTCTTTACCTGGGCAGGTGGACCCTCAGCACATGCACTGTGTCACAGAGACGTTCTTCAAACAATACCTTGGCCCTGCCTATACTGCATCCGTGCAGAAGACTGTACTGGGCATTCAGGGCCTAGCTTCGTGGCTCAGACATCTCTGACCATTGTCCACGTTGTTGGCTATGGCTCATCGGTCGTCTCCTATGCAGTGTTCCATGGCATGAGGAAAACTGTTCATCAACTGTAGACAGACATTAGGGTTTCATCCATTTTGGTGTTTAGGAATAGTTACCCTGAGCATTTGTGTGCATGTCATGGGGACATCACAGTCATTTCTTTTTTTTTTCTTTTTGTTTAAAGGTTTTATTTATTTATTTTTAGAGGGGAAGGAGAAAGAGAGGGAGAGAAACATCAGTGTGCGGTTGCGTACCGGGGACCTGGCCTGCAACCCAGGCATGTGCCCTAGACTGGGAATTGAGCCAGCAACCCTTTGGTTTGCAGGCTCATGCTCAATCCACTGAGCTACACCAGCCAGAGCCACAGTCATTTCTTTTGGGGACATACTGGGAGTGGCAGGAGCATCATGGAGAATGTGCTTCAATTAGAATAGCTGAGTCCCACCCGTCTCACGCCCTCCCTGCCCCTGGCACTGCCATCCGGTCATTTTACTGTTCGGGTGTGTGTGCGCATGCATGCGTGATCTTCTCAAGGCTCCGGACTTATGATGTGGAGTACCTTTTCATGCTCTCGCCACTCGGGTCTCCCTGTCTGGGAAAGTGCCTGTGTTTTCTCTGTTTTCCATTTTCCCCATCATCATACATTGCTCATCATTACTGGGTTCGTTTAAAGCTGCCTTAGCCACATAAAGTGAGACGGAGAGCATTCCCCTTTTTCCGTTCCTGGTAGCCGTTCCTACGTGGTTTGTGAGGCGACCTGTGAAGGTACGTGGCCCTCAGGCTTCCCTGGTGGCACACTGTTCCTGCCGACTTAACGCACACCTGGCACGACTGCGGTCGGAGTGCTGTGCAGGGTCTGTTTCCTCCTCAAGTTGTGGTGTTCATTTAGAGAAGTCGCCCATTCGATCTAAATTGGCAGGAAGTTGTTCATAATTTCCTGATGTTGGTGTTTATCCTCACCCGAGGACATGCGTATGGATTTTTAGAGAGGGGAAGGGAGGAAGAGAGAGGAAAAGATGCACCAGTGTGTCACCTCTTTTCTGTGCCCCAACTAGAGACAAACCCATACCTTAGGCATGTGACCTTTCAGTTTACAGGGTGACACTCCAGCTAAGCCACACTGTCCAGGGCTTGTCTTCTGAATGTCTGCAGTGGTGTCTGCTTGTATCTCTGTGCTAGTTTCCCAAGGCTGCCAGAACAAGGTGCTACAGGCCAGGCGACAAGCAATTCATTGAAAAGATGGGGTAGCAAGTGCTGGTGCGGGCATGGCACCCGTGCAACTCTCAGACTTCGCTGGGCTATGACAGAAATCCTACAAAACCATCAGCTGAAACGACAGATCTTCATTGTCTCCCAGTCCCGGAGGCTGCCCCTCCAAGGCCAAGGTGTGGGCAGGGCTGGTCCCTCCTGAGGGCTGAGAAGGACCTCTTCTATGCCCTCTCCTTGGCTTCATCTTCACTGGTGCTCTTCCTGTCTATGTGTCTGTCTACAAAGTTCCTGTTTTTGTAATGACACGATCACACTGGATTCGGGCCCACCCTAATGACCTCGTCTTAACTGGATCATATGCAAAGTTTCTGTGTCCAGACAAGATCACATTCACAGGTCCTAGAGGTTAGGGCCTCGGCATATGAATTTGAGGGAGATACAAGCCCATAACAACTCTTTGCGTAGTCATTTGTATCTTCTTTTTTCCTAATGAATCTGATTTTGTCAATTTTACTAGTATTGGTCTTTTCAAAAGGAGTAAAGGGTTAACTGTGTTGATTTTTTTTTTTAAGATTTAATTTATTCATAGAGAGAGGGGAAGGGAGGGAGAAAAAGAGAGAAACATCATCTTGTAAGAGAAACATGGATGGGCTGCTTCTGGCATGCCCCCAGCTGGGGACCTGGCCAACAACCCAGGCATGTGCCTTGACTGGGAATCAAACCAGCGACTCTGGTTCGCAGGCCATCGCTCAGTCCACTGAGCCACACCAGCTAGTGCCTGTGTTGATTCTTTATATTTTGTTTTCTCTCAATTTCTGCTGATTTTTTTATTGTTTCTTTTTACATGTATTGGGTCTACTTGTGGAGATAGCTAATTAGCTCGTTAATTTTCAGTCTTTTTTCCAAACAAAACATTAAAATTCTGTTTTGGGAACTGCTGCTTCTGGACAAGGAAGAGCAACAGGGGCTGGGTTTACCTCCCATGTGAAGTGACAACAGCTAGACAAATACACCATGTCGCAGTCCCAAAGACCCTGAGCATCTGACAGGGAGAGGCAGGGACAGAAGAGGCCTGTCCACAGTTGCCCACCAGGTCCAGGTTCCAGGGTGCGTACTGGGCAACCCAGCAGTCTCCCCGAGGTGAGGAGGTGGTATTGGGAGATGGTGCTGGAGTGGAAGGAGCTGCACAGGGAGAGGTTTGGAGAGAGGAGAAAGTCCTGAGTATTCAGCTAGTTACCGATCAGGGCGTGTGTCAGGAAGCTACAAGTCTAAGGAGAGAACTGCCCAGAAGGACTGGAAGGAATGATCCATGGTACTCAGCAGCAGCCGGAGTGGAAACTTTGTACTTCAGGAGGTACCAGTTAGAGGACTTATAGGAGCTGGGCCTTGGTAGTAGGGGGGGAAATCTGAACAATAGAGTAGTCACTGCCCTGGTCCCACCAACAAAGCTTAAATGCAAAGTCTAAAAAGGTTCAAGTTGTTTCTGAAGACTTTGTTTCCCAGTAAAAAGCTAAAAAATATTCATAGGAATACAGAAATGTCCTTCACCCAACGGATGAAATTCACAATGTCTGTCTATATCCAAATGACCGGATATGCAAAGAAGCAAGAAATTACAGCCCACAATGAGAAGAGTCAGTCACCTGGAGCTGAACAAGAAATGACAAATGTGACAGAATTAGCAGACAGGGATAGTTACACGGTTCTTAAACTCAATTTACATGTTCAAAAAGCTAGAGGAAAGATTAACAGTGTTAAATAGAAGCATGGAAGACATGAAAAGATCCATAGCGAATTTCCACAGATGAAAACTCTGAGATGAAAACTACATTGGATGGGATCCGTGGAATATTAGACATTGCAAAAGAAAGGATGAATGAATCTTAAGACATAACAACAGCACCTACATGAAAAGAAACAAAACTGAGGAAAGTAGAACAGAGCGTCAGGGAGCTGAGGGGGACTCTGAGCGGCCAGCTGTGTAAGGGAGTCCCCAAGGGAGCAAAGAGTCAGAGGAGACACACTTAAACAAATGTCTGAAGATGTGCCAAATTTAATTTTAAAAATATAAACCACAGATTCAAGAAGCTTACCAAAAACCAAGCACAAGAAACAGGAAGAAAACTGAAAAGTGCATTGTAATCAAACTGCTGAAAACCAGTAACAGAAAAGTCTTCGCGGCGGCCCGAGAGAAGACGTGATGTACGGGGGACAAAGGGATGGTGAGGGGGTTTCTTGGAAGAAGCGATATAAGCTGGAAGATACTTTTCAGATACTGAAAAGAAAAAAATATCTGCTAACTTAGAGTTCTTCACCCAGTGAAATATATTTCAAAATATATTTTAAAATTGAGGACTTTAACAGACATACAGAAGTCAGAAGCATTCACCAACCTGCTCTACGGGAACTGCCAGGGTTGCTTCCAGCAGCATCTGGCAGAAGTGCGACCCACCAGTCAGAAAAAGTAACTACGTGGATAAATGTAGAGATTGTTTTTTTTGTTTCTAAGGCTTTTTTCAAAGATTAATGGACCACTTAAAGTGAAAATAGCATGGGCATTTTGTAGGGTTCATGACACATGGATTGAAATATGTGACAGCAGTAGCACACATTCAAGCAGAGGCCACAGCGGTAACTACTGTGATGCTCTCCTGCTCATCACAAAGATGCGCTGTGACCCAAATGTAGCCTGAGGTCAGTTAAAGGTGCACACTGTAAGCCATACAGCAGTCTCTAAAATACAACAGTTACAACTACTAAGCCACTAAGGAGGTTAAATTGAATCAAAAAGGCAGAAAAAGACAAAAGGAGGAACAAAAAACAGATGGGAAAAATAGAAAACTAATAGAAATGGAGTAGATTGACCTACAGCCAAGATTGCTCTGCCCAGCGATCATTTAGAATTGAAAGGCAGATAAAGAGCTTCCTAGACAAGAAAAAACTAAAGAAGTTCATCATCACCAAACCATTATTATATGAAATGTTAAACTTAATAAAAAGAAGATCAAAACTATGAATGAGAAAGTGACAAACCATACATATCAACAACTGAATCTAAAAACCAAACTAAGCAACTAAGAACAGAGTCAGAATCATGGATACAGAGAGCGTTTTCATGGTTGCCAGATGGGAGGGGGCGTGGGGGAATGGGAGAGAGATGAGGGGATTAAGAAGTACAAAGAGTTACAGAATAGCCATGGCGATGTGAAGTACAGTATGGGAAATGGAGCAGCTGGAGAGCTTATATGCATGATCCACAGACAAGAACAACGATGGGGGCATTGCCTGAGGGCGTGGAGGCTTCCAGGTGGAAGAGGGCAAAAGGGGA